CTGCCCAGGACTTTACAAATAAGTTCTATAAGTTCTAGTTTCTCATGTAATTGATTAAACCATTAACCCTCTCCTGGCACTATGTTTACGTGCACAGCTGAGGAAACAGAATACGATGCTTTTCTTGTAGAATGACAAAAGGCCAAACACCTCTCCAGTTCTTTCTGAAAGCATGAAAGCACAGAAGCTAGAAGAATCATCCTCTTTTCATGTTCATTTTGACATATTCCTTAAGGCCATGAGAAGGTGCATTAAACAGGAAGCTAGTAAATCTCCGTTCCTACAGTGTCTTTAATTTTCCATGTATGTCTTCATTAAGCTTTAATTTCTTACTGTGAGAATCAAGCATCACTTTCCCTGTAACAGATGGGCTTGCCAAGGATCACAGAAAGGTGGCTCAAACTAGGCAATTCTTCACGTAGAAGAATGCAGTATAGTTTAAGACAGGCAAGCAATTTAGCAGACAGTTGAGAGCTTAGGCTATTTTTGGCAAGATAATTATCTTTTCTTGAACTCTGTATCACTGCTGCAGATTGCTCCAACACCCCAACTCGCTGGTCACTACAAATGAGCAATTTCAATACTGCACTGATCTGTGTGTGCTATACAAGCTCCTAGAAAGAATGCTTATGGCAACGCCAGGAACAGGTACTAGGTTTGGACTTGCCAAAGATAGATGTCTGCTTCTAAGCTGCCCATTCTAGACTCCTTGAAATAGATTATGGAGAGAAATACATACTTCTAAGAAATGATGAATTTCATCTTGAGGTAGTTATCTGAATAGGTAAATAAAATCAGTTGAAAAAGTACCCATTTCTTTTTGCTAAACATAAGGAGAGCCCATGATGACTAGATCAGAGGTACAGATCTACTTCATTGTCATGTAAAGTTCAGCAAGATGAATTCCATACAATCAGCCTTTCACGTGGTTGACAAATGGAACAGCTGAAAGATAAGAATTTCATCAGCTGTCTTCCAGGAAGAGGTTTTAATAACTGCTAAAGTGGGGATATAATTTTTCAGAAGTCTGAATACATTGGAAATGTTTAACTATTTAAGAAGTTTCCACTGAATAAATATATGGAAATAAATATATGGAAATAAGGTGCCCTGTAAGTAGCAGAAAAAAATTATTCTTATATTATATTGGAAAAAAAAACCCACTGAAAGTTATTGCTTCTAAAGTCAAAGTAAGTGACAAAGGTTCGGACAAGATAGCGCTGAAGAGCCTGTTGTTCACAATTCTTGGCATGACAAAAGAAAAAAATGCAAATGGAAAGTAAACGACATTGATTGAAAAATCACACCCGAATCACCACGTGTACACATACAAATCCATTCTCGCATACCTTATTGTCAGTCCTGACTGTAACTTTCAGCTGCGGAAGCACACGTTCCACTTCCAGATTCCACTCCACTGCATCTGTCGTGGACTGTAAAATCTCTTCCTGCTTTGCAGTGTCACTCATGTCCTGTATAGAAATCACAGAGTTTATATACAAAATATCATCGTTATGCACAGTGAGAACTGTTAGGAATCATGTTACAATGGCCTACAGTGTTCATATTCAGAAAAATACATACATCCAGAATGATCTAGACTACAGATGTAACAGATTCCTTTAATGGCTTTCTTTGAATTCATAAAGATTAGGAATTAAAAAATATATATCTTCTCATCATATTTGAATTTGAAAAGAATGAAATGTATAGAATAAGAAATTATAATACATTCCAGAAACTGGGGGGAGGGGTGCAATTAAAATATATTAAAGAAACTAATACCATGTTTCCCTAAAAGTCTCTGCAAAAATTTCTTGCAAATGTTTCAAGCAACCTTGCACTGGTATCAGTTTAGAAACTGGCTGCACATTTTTCTTTTAAAATAAGCTGATTCATTTCAGTTGGAATGTTTTTTAAAGTTTAGACTATACAAGTATTTTCAGACTTAAATCCAACAGAAATAAGTTGTTGCTACAGATGTAAAAATATCTCAGGAAAGGACTGATGGGTAACAACTTACCGATCTGTACGTTTGTGCCTTTAGAACATTCAGGTCAATAAAATTTTCTTCATTGTCTGACTCTTCTTCCTTAAAGAAAGTTGCAAAGTAAGACTTTAGTAAGTATTGCACAATCTTTATCCATAATTTTATTTTGCAGGAGCACAGGACAAGGAGTATTAAATTCTGTATTTCTGAACAAAACAAGATATGGAGAGTTTATGATAATGGAGCTTGCATTTACTTAAAATCTTATGAGGAGACACAGTATCTGGGACAAGCTGAAAGATGAAAGTTACTGCATATATCCCTCCAGGTGCCACAGCATCTAAAAACTAAACCAACCAACCAAAAAAAACCCCAAAACGTAAGCCCTCTCACATCAAATGGGCCATTCTCAATAGTTGTATAGTAACTGTAATTTCCTTTGTGTTTCCCAAAGCTTTGCATTAAAAATAAAACCAAACCAAAACCCAAACCACAACCAGACCTGAACATAGTTTTCAAGATGTTGTTTGCACTACGTATTTGGAGTTGCAGAATGACGCCACGTTTTAAGTGTGCAGTATGCTACAATTCAAACTGAGGGAACTGATTTGTTTTCTTGCCCATGACACTACACACTGAACTGACAACTTTATAAATTCTCTGTTACAGTCTCAAAATTCCATTCCTCAGCCACCATGATCAGCTCAAAGCCCATCACTGCATAAGTAAAGACAAAGATGCTTTTTCTATGCATTACCCTCCATTTATCGACACTGAATTTCACCTGACATTTCACCACTCATACACTTCACCCTTATACACCTTGTCCTTCTGTGGCTCTTCTGTTAGCCATCTTTTCCACCAAAGTCAAATTTCACCATCCACCTCCTTTCTAGACAAATCAGAAAAGCTGCAATTACACAGGTCTTAGTGTAGAACCCCTCAAGATTCAGTTAGTGAGAACCTGGGAGCTTATTCCTCTACCTTACCTAGTTTGTAACTAACAGAGACCACTTTTTATTTTCTTCTGGCATGTTTGGCCTCTAGTCCCCAAATACTTGCAAGAAATTAATGGTGACTAGATGGGGACTATCTTTTGCTAAATGGGCTATATATATTTGTGCAGCACTTAGAAGAACATATTACAACACTACCATAACACCACCACCACAACAACACCAAGAGCAGTTATCAGAACTGAGAAACCAAACTGTGCAGATTTCCTTGGACACCCAGCCTTGCCGGCTACTGTTGGCTACCTAATACGGGCTGCTCAGTTCCCTATGATTTACATAGGCTTGTCTCTTTCAGCATCATCAATTTTATTCAGAAGAATCAAAACCAGAAGAACAATCAATGAACCTCATCAAGACCATTTAACTACTGGAAATGCTGCTAAATCCAATTATTGATGCGGCTAATACATCCAGGACATATCAATATATTGGCAGCAACAATGAACGGGGTAAAAAAAAAAAATACATTGATATATAATTAATCCATGTAGAACAATTAGGGGCTCTAAAAAGTGATTATCCACTTGGTACAAACCTAGCTCAATGGTTTTACTAACACACAAACTCAGAAGAGCTAACAGAACATGTTAGTTGTGAGAATCATGGCCTAAGATACTACCTGAGAGCAAATCCAGAGGTGCTTTGAAGGGTTTCAACTGTGCTTTAGTTAACTGTTTCGTCCCCACTTCCCAACTTAAACAGCTCAGACCTTAACAAGACACAGAAAAGAGCAGACTGTTTTCATATTTAAAGCTTTTAGCCAACAGATTACATTTCTGAGGCTGGTCAAACATGCAATACAGAATGCCTCTTATTCTTCTCAGAATTACTGAAAACTTTTTCTGTGGAGACCTCAAAGCAAAAATGCAACCAGACATCCAGATCACAATATTTGCATATTGTATGAAGTTTAAGAATAGAAGTTTAGGATTTTCTTGGGTAACAAAAATGAGAAAAATAATGCAATACTTAAGAGAGAAAAGGAAGAAGAGAAACACTCTTCAACTGGTACATTGTTGTGGCATATAAATTTGGACTATAATCAAAACCACATAGCATTACCGGCACTCTATTCCCAACTTTTATGACCTTTAATTTTTCCCAAGCACCAGAAAAATATGAACACAAAAATGGGACAGTTGTGGCATTCTCTATCCAGTATTGCTGGGCCTTAACACTCCAGAAAATTGTTTTCTTCACAAGTAACTTACTAGCAGAGCAATTGACCACTTCCAGGCTCATAGCTTTCAATATTTTGGTTTTGATCTACGTTTATTTTTGCACAGAATCATAAGCTTTTGAAGAAATCATATGTGAAACTAACTTTTTGTAATTTTCACTTTAATTGTCTTCAGCTAACTTCCTTCTCCAGAAAAAACCTTTGTTAAGTCAGCAGTAAAAAGACTTACTCTGAGGAAACTAACCCAGTCCTGTGAAAATGACAATGTCTTGTGACCACATTATGCTACCAGTTTACAAAGACTCCAACTCTCATAAAAGTAATCTTCTGAGAAAGTCAACCAGGAAAAAACAACTTCTGTTCAACATCCATCCATCAGTAAGTCCTAAAAGCATATTTGAACTTACAGGTGTATTTCATAGGCTGTTTCACAGACATGACAACTTCACTGTAATTATTATAGTTAAAAAGCAGGAATAAATAAAACAGTCGATCCTCAAACATTGCCATCTTGTTGGTAAAACGTTATTTCAAAGCACACAGAAAGACTTATTCTGCAGTCAGAATGGATGATGGGATATCACCATTCCATTCATGGAATACATGGCGATGAGCTGCCATGACCTCTGTCTACAGAAACAATTCTGCAACCTTTACTTAGGTCCTTGTTGGTGGTTTTAAACAAATGTTTTGTTTAGAGTCCTTTTCTGTCTACTCTGTTCTCAAATCTTCAGACCAACTAAGTACCAGTGTTACTGTTCCCTGTTTGCAGTGAAATACGAGTTACAATAGTGAGGACTCTATTGATTAAGCGCTGGGCAAATTTTAACCAAATATTAGCCAATTCTGTAAACAGGGATTGAAGTTTCATTTAACACAGAATCATCGAATAGTTTGGGTTGGAAGGGACCATTAGAGGTCACTTAGTCCAACCCCTCTGCAGGGACACCTTTAGCCAGATCAGGTTGCCCAGAGCCCCGTCCAACCTGACCTTGAATGTTTCCAGGGATGGGGCTTCTACCACCTCTCTGGGAAACCTGTTCCAGTGTTTCACCACCCTTGTCATAAAAAACTTCTTCTTTATATATCTAGTCTAAATCTACCCTCCTTTAGTTTAAAACCATTATGCCTTGTCCCATCGCAACAGGCCCTGCTAAAATGATTGCCCCCATCTTTCTTACATGCCCCCTTTAAGCACTGGAAGGCCACAATAAGGTCTCCCTGGAGCCTTCTCCTCTCCAGGCTGAACAACTCCAACTCTCTCAGCCTGTCCTCATAGGGGAGGTGCTCCAGCCCCCTGATCATCTTTGTGGCCCTAATGACACATCAACAGCTTTGAAGGCTATGATGCCCTGGAGCAAAACCTTTGCTTAACTATCTAGACAATTAATATTAGTTAACACCCCTGCTTATGTTAATGAGAATTACAGAGACCATGCTGTACATATAGGACTATGTCACTCAACTCTCCACCTAAATCATGCTATATGTAACCCATGGGAGGGGAAACAAAGAATTAGAGAACAAAAAGAGGAGAATATGGGGTAAAAATTGGGAGAAAGAGACTGAAGATCTAGAAGAGATGGTTGACAGGCTGTGCTCCTCTTCCTCCACCCAAGATAGGGATGCCTTCTTGGTAAGAATCGCGCCTTCGCCCCTGGCGAAGAATACCCGGGAAAACTTGGCTGGCATTATTGTAGTGTGTTAGGACTATTGCAGTAAGTGCATTTCTCAAGGGCAATTCCGTACTTGTTATATCTGTCACCTTAATAAATCACCTATATTTGCAACTTTGCAAAACTGTTTCAGTGAAGGTCCCTTGCAGAGCTCTGACGGGCAAACGTTGACCCTAACAATGTGGCTTTGTGGAACTGCCTCAGTGGAAGTCCCTGAGAGGACCCTGACAGGCAAACATCACATCCTTACTCTTAACGCGACAACTATAAATGCACATAAGAACATAGCCTCTGTCCCAAAGAGTTAACAACCTTATCTGAAAGGAAACAAAACACCCTACAGAAAAGCTGATGCTGCAGGAGTGGAGATGCAGGGGGAAAAGGGCAATTTGACAGCTGACTGAAAAGACTTCTTAAACAAAGCCAAAACAAAATGAGCAGTGAGTAAAAATTTCCTCATAGTTGACCAATATTAATATAATCAAAACCAGTCAGGTAAACCTACCGCAACATCCTCTTCCAGTTTATTAAGTGTTAATTCTGCATCATCTTCTGTTATTTCTTCTTCTTCTAGCTCTTCTATTGGATATGCTGGCCTGAAATTAGTTCAAAAAACAGCAGAGCTTTTAAACACAATAAACTGGATATACCTCCATAAGTTGCTCATAAGCAAACAGAACATTTCATGATAAGTATGGATGATGTGGAATATGACCAGACAGTGATTAGTGTCTCACATACTTAAACAAATAAAATTAACACTCAGCCTTAAATGTCTTTGTTTACCTTGGGCTATCTTAAAAGTAAGTTATTATGCCAATCAGTGAAGTATGTCCATACTACAAAGATATCTGGGGAGTAAATTTTGATTTGCTTTCTCTTCTGGTCTAACCTCTTAAAATTCAAGTGCAAGTAACCAGACTTATTTTCAGGCTACAGTGGAATTTGTGTACTAAACAGAAGTAACAGTAAAATATTCCCAAGGTAGAAATTACTTCGCTATATCCATTTCAAAAGCCATCAGAGGGAAGGAATGAAATAAAAAACACTTTTTAAGAAATTTTCATATACTTGAAATTATCTGTCATTTAATTTCACCTAAGATTTCCTTCAGAGTAAATACTCAAAGTTACTGTAGCCTGCTTGTAACATGATTACATATCATGCATACCTCCAATTACAGAGATCAAGAATTTAGCTATTGATTGATAGGACCTGAAAGGACACTAAATGTCTCAACTCAACTGTCAGATTAACAAGCAGTTATGCATAGGAAAATGACCAAAAAAAAAAAAAAAGGCCATCACTCAAATCTATATTACTTCACTAAATCTATTATTGGCCCAAACTCATTCTTGCCGGTAATAGACTAAATTGCAAGAAATTGCCTTAGGAATTAATTGGTCCCACTGCTTCAAGCCTAGTTGAATTTTGCATCTCATGAAATATCAAGCAAAATGTTTTTAGTCATTACTATGTTTTGTCTTTGCAATTACAACTTAAGATTTGTTTGCTGGAAAAACATGCATAAGGGAGGATGCTTAAAAGTGTACTATACCTTTTCCAGCTAAAGCCACTGTATTTCAAGGCTTCTTCAGCTAAACAATCAAGAACATAGCACACTTGCTCTCCATAACCTGCCTTTAATTTTGAGGGAGGAAAATCCACAGGCCTTCCCTAAAATAAAGAGATAGGCTGTTTACTAATGGCTACCCATCAATCTGAGTTTCCTCTCAGGGAGGTAACAAGATTTTTTACACAAAAACCAAAGTGTCCACATTGTGTACGAAGATTACTAACGTTAATTCATATTCTTCCCCTATGCAGCTCCAGTCAAGCAACAGCAGAGAAAACAGAAGAACCCAAGGAACAGATGCACTGTAGAAAGCTTAAAGTGCCTGGTAAGGGGATATTCGTAGGGAGCAGGAGAGTCAGAAGCCACAAGGGAGCTAGATGGTCAAGCACACAAGTGACATGTTGGCAAGGCAAGAACCGCTACAGAGAAACTCAGCTACTGAGACTTAACCACCAGCTTCTCAACATTGCCTTGTTTGTTCCAGATCTTATTTATAAAATCCTTTATTTTTATTTATTACTGTGCTGCAGAATAAATATCTTAGCTTGTTATGGTTTAACTCCTTTAGAGAACAGTGTTCTTAACAACATTCACAGCTGTACCACAGTATAATCTTCCGTAAGATCATACTTCCTGTAAGTCGATATACTCTCCTGACCTTCGGGGGTTTTTTAATATTGAAAAAAATCCCAATAGTTCCTGGCAGTTTATGCAACCTTTTACTCCTTAACAACAATAATGAAGAAAATTGAACACAATCCTTTGACCTCATCAATGTTTATAAATACGTAAAGGACAAGTGTCAGGAGGACGGAGCCGGGCTCTTCTCGGTGATGTCCAAGGATAGGACAAGGGGCAACGGGTGCAAGCTGGAGCACAGGGAGGTTCCACATTACCATCAGGAAAAACTTCTTTACTCTGAGGGTGACAGAGCACTGGAACAGGCTGCCCAGAGAGGCTGTGGAGTCTCCTTCTCTGAAGAGATTTGAAACCCGCCTGGACATGTTCCTGTGTGACCTACTCTAAGTGGTCCTGCTCTGGCAGGGGGGGTGGACTAGATGATCTTTCGAGGTCCCTTCCAACCCCTGACATTCTGTGATTCTAAACCACTTCCTTCACTATCAATTACACCATTGATTTTGGCAGGAGCCAAGCACTGCATAAACCTTCCAGACGACAGCTTAGTAAATTATACTACTACAAATGAGCAATGTATGTGGCACTACAAGAAGTAAACCAAATTTAATCCATTTTACAGATTGTGGAACAAAACGAATTGGAATGATATATAATATTGTAAGACCATTTTTGCAGTGCCAAAAAACAGTCAAGTAGGTACAGACCGTGTAACTTCCAATTACCTAATTAACACAGTACAAACTTATAGACAGGAAAAGTCTGTCCAGTCCTTGGAAACATAATCAGACAGGAGAGGAAGTGTATCATTACTGTCATTTCTGAAGGTGATGCACGTGCTTGAAATACACTTGGAAAAACAGCATGTTCAACACTTACAAATGATCGCAATTCTGAGAGCACATTTGATATTACTGCATTGGGGTCATCATATTCTTGTGGCTGCTCGAAGGGATGTCCTGCTTTAGTGATCAGCCAAGCGGCAAGCATGAAAAACATAAAGAACTGCTCACCAGGATTAGTGGGCAGTGCAAAGTAGTGCCTGTGTAAAAAGGGGAAAAAACAGTGAATATTTTGAGCTCCTGAAGCTCTTACAGCGTTATAGGCCAGCAGAGGCTAGAAAGTAGTTTCTTTAACTGACTTTCTCAACGAGTCATCCATCTGAACTAAATTCAGGATGGCTAGTTTCACAGATAACCACAGCAGACCAAGTTTTCTACATGCAGCTCATCTGTTTCCTGCTTTGAGTAAGCTATTAATCAAGGACTCAAATGGAAACTGGGTACTCCTCTCTCCTGCCAGCAGGGTTATACAGCTTCAGTTAAACACCACCAAATGAACATTTCCGCATAAAACCAAGTTACTCCTCTTTATTTATGTGAGCAGTCTCAAATCATGACGCGCTCAATTCTGTTCCCATTTAATTTTTGGGATGCAGAATTCACCCCATCACTTCATAAAATACCACCACTGACTAATTAAGAGCCTATGCAATGGATTCATTCAAAATGTTCCTTGCATAGCGTAAAATACTTAAAAGCTCAAAAGAATCAAAGTCAAAGATCTGCAATCACCAATAACTCATAAGCCATAAATGAGCTAAGATTTTGATAAATCTCAGACATTTTTCACAGGGCAAGTGATTTACAGTGCAAGACAATCCAAATTTGAAAAACATCTTCTGAATAGATTAGCAAAAGTGATTGATAACTACTGTCAACATCACACAGCAAACAGCCCACTTCAAAAACAAAAATAAAATGATCCATTGCTAAAGCTTTATACCCATGATAGTAGAAGCCAGGGTGGATTTGTCTCATCTTTTATCTACTTTAGAACACACTGAAAAATGCTTTAGAAGTGTGTATTGCTCTCCATTAAAGGGAGTTTGGCCAAATAGCACGAAGGTATCTGTATTTCGGTATATGATTATGCCCCTTTATAAACAAACAAATTCCGCATCAAGTGAGCACATGAAAACTTGAATGAATTCCTCAAAGGGCAGGGAACTAATTTACTTAAGCCTCATTGCCCAAAGAAATGTGTCCTCTTTCTACATGTTGTCCTCATCCATGCCATTACAGCACAGTAACCTCACCTCCTGTTCCCTTCTTAACATCTGACAACAGCAATACATCCAGTTCCTCTTGCTGCAATGTTCCTCAACCTCTTCCCCTTCCCATATTCCTCAAGAGTGGCAAGAGGCTGGTGTACCTCAATCAGTGCACAAGCTTAGATCGGGAGCATGTTTTTGAAGCGATCCTTCCACCTACCCTTGCCTACTGTGCTTTGGGGTGCTTTAGAGAATAAGGTACACAAATTGGATCTATTTTGGATCACACTAAATTGAAAGATGTGGTCTTAACAAGGATTCAGTCCGTAAAGTCAGACCACAGGTAGTCCCCCATATAAGTCATGTCCACACTGCATACTCGGAATCAAACGCTTCTCTTTACAGTCACGGCTGCTTGCTAAGGTGGACAAAGGTTTGCTTAATTGCTCCAAATATATATATGGATATAAGCTAAAACCAGCTCAGAGCCACTGCACTCATCCTCAGCCCTCTGTCCCAAGAAGTGAATCATTTGAACTACTTTTTTTCCCCCCCTACCAAACTGTTGTTTATAGAAAGCTTAACTGTGTGACTTGCTGCTGTGGAGCCTGGTTGAAACTGACAGATGGATTTGAAAGTTATTTGGGAAGGGGGATGTTGGGAGCACATCAGTCCCGTTTCCCAGGTTCCCTGTCTCCCACCATAATTAAAAAAAAAAGTTTGTTACATATGAAACAAGTACGTATTAGAGATGAAAAACCAGACTTAAAAGCAACAGGTCCAATCCCCCTTACAAATACACACCCCCCACTTACATACACTTACCCTGAATACATAGGGCAGAATTATTTTTGGCACAGATACACCAGCGTGCAAATATTGAAACTCATGTACCAGGGGCAGGGAAGGTCAAGTGACTATTTCCTTATCACACCTCAGCCTTTAGGGGCACCTCTCGTTTTTTAAGCTTCAGTCAGACGTGAAGCTGTGAGTTGACTAGTTTTTACTTGACCCAGGCATCTCGTCACCCGAAAGCCAGCCTTCCTTCTCTAGTCCCCATAACCGCCCGCTGGGATTTCTCCCTGCTCGCTCCGGGGGTTCGCACCCAGACGCCCACACCCCGGCACCCACCCGACGCCGCCCGCTCCAGACCCG